TCATTTCATATTTTTTCAATAAATTCATTTTTTACCTTTTTCTTAAACAAAAACATTGAGTTTAATTTATAATTACTGACTCTCTTGGTAAAATATGATTGAATATTTTGAGGTAAAGCATTTTTATGAGTCCTACATAACCTGCAAATTTCATAGTCAACCAGTTCATAAAATTTTCGTAACTTTAATTGATGAAATAATATGTCAGATGGATGAGTGTAATGTTTTCTTGTGATGAGTCTTATGGCTCTTTTCTGTAAAATAAAAATAGAATTTGTAGCCGTTCTACATGTCTTCCCCCAAACCTCAACACAATAAGTCAAATGAGGAACAATTTTAGCATTATACAATATAAGCAGTGCTTTTTCGTTAAACATTCTCTAGCTTTATATAGTACAGCAATAGATTTTGCTATTTTTGTTTTCAGATAATTAAGATGAGATTTCCAGGTCAGGTTTTCATCAATAATTACACCCAAAAATTTCACCTCACTCACTCAACAAATTACATTACAATCCACTTTAAATGATGCATCGACTATAATTTTTCTATTACTAAATATCATATAATTTGTTTTCTCCAAATTTTGTGATAATTTATTAAAGTCTGTATTTTTACAAACTCAGTTTCCATCATTTCCAGCATTAGATCTAAATTTTTTACGTGACAAAAAAAATGTTGTCATCTGCAAACAAAACACGTTTATACAACTCAGACACATTCACCAAATCATTTATATATAAAAGAAATAACTTTGGTCCAAGCACAGAACCTTGTGGGACCCCATATGCAATACTACCAAGCCTAGATCTTATTTCATTTAGTTGAACAAATTGTTTCCTATTTGTCAGATAACTACACACATTGTAATGCTGGACCTCTTACGCCATAATTATTCAATTTATCTAAAAGAATGCTCTGATCAATAGTATGAAAAGCTTTCTTTAAATCAACAAATTAGTTAAAGTTCAGCTTTAAAACCTGTTAATCTGATGGTGAGGACGATGAGATTTTCTGACTGCTCTGTTCATTTCTGTCTGTTAGCAAAATATCTTATGAACCCGTGGATGGAGCTTCATGGCTGTACAAAAACTGATTAACTTTTGGAGTCAACTCAGTTTAAAGTAATTACAATTACTCTACATTAAAATATATATATCATTTGAGTATTTTTTATATTTATGCTCAGTAAGTTTTATATTGGAACAGTTTTTAGTCACTTTCATATATAAACACCTGCAGTTTGTACAGGTCTTTCTAATTTATGGACACATAAACTATCACATGTAAAATACTGTTGCAAAATTTCCTTTCATTGATATATTTATTTTTGTCCAGTCTTCATTAATTTGCAGTGAATACTATGGGGTGCTGTTTGTAAAGTTACACAGTCAAAAATTACCACCGATATTTTTGTTTTATTTAGCCTTTTATGTGAAAAAAGAACAGATTTATTT